TTTTTCCCCAATTGGGGGGGGGGGGGGAAATGCAGGCCCCTTTTCTTTCCTTCTTTTTTATTTCCTTAAGGCATTTGGCCCGTGTTCGCCTCCCCATTCTTGGGGCCCCCCTTTTTTTCCCCCTGGGGGATTTATGTTTTTTTTTTTTTTTTTTTCTTGGGTTTTTGGCCCGGGTTGTTTTTTGGGGGGGTTTCCCCAAAAAAAAGGGGGGTTTTCCCCGGGCGCCCCCCCCCCCTCCCGGGGCTTTAAATCCAAGGCCCGGGCCCTTTTGGGGGGCCTTTTTTTTGGGTTTTCCAAACCCTTTTTGGGGGGGTTTTTTTTTCCCCCCCCCAAGAGTTTTTCCCCGCCCTGCCCCCCCTTTTTAAAACGGTGGCCCCTTGGGCCGGGCCCCCCCCTCGGTTTCCTTCCCCCTTTTTTTTTCCCCCCCCGGGGGCCCCCCCCCCCCCCCCCCCCCCCTAACAAGACTGGTGTCTCCTCAGAAAACCTGGTGAGGGCCTCTCCTAGACCTCTCCCCAAAGAAAACGTCCACCCAGTGCTTCTTCTTCCTAGCCGACACCGAACGGGAGGCTCGAGCGCGACCCCTGTCCTTGTCCGGTATGCTCCTGCCGGTGTCGATGAGCGACAGCAATCCCTCCCTCTTGGACATCGCCTGTTTGCGCAAGCCGGAGAGTTGTGGACGCACAAGGGCAAACAGATGCATTGGGTTGGTGTTGGGAAGTGTTTGGCATTTTTGACTTGTTCGAACGTTTTTGGGTGGGATGCAGACACAGCACTTCGCAGGCATGCTTCAGGGTAAACACGCGGTTGCCGTGGTGGTACCTTGACAGCTTCACCTCTGTAATAGCAGCCAGTAGCCAGTACAGCAGTGCGGCGTGCATCTCCAGCGTTGGAAGACAGAACGAACAGGAACCTACTTGATGCCGCGTGTGTGGTGGCAGTGGTATGCATGGCCTCAATCAAGTCAGTACATTGTATGTGGTACTACTGCTCGAAGATAGTGTTGTTCAGTCCACTTCGCACATGTGGAGGGGGACAGCAGCGTTCAAGGAGGCGGGAAGCCAGGGCAGCTACGGATGTTGCCGTGTGGGGGGAGGAGCACGAAACCACTAGAAAGTGCTGCCGGGGGGTTGTCACACCTCAACTTGATGAAGTCAAAGCTCGCAAAAGAGCACACGTCAAACAACATACATTTTTCGTGTTCTCTTGCGCTTCATCAGGAAAACGCAACGCAGCTCAGGAGATCCATGACCTCCATCGATGACATAAATAGGCGCACCAACACTTGTGGTAGTCTAAGTTGACACAGGCTCAAATGAAACAGCAACAGAGATTCGTCGCCACATCACGGACGCCTCGGCTACGTTGTCAAATTGGAATCTGCAACAAATCGTGTTGCCAACAGACGGCAACGATAGCATCTGCACGAACTCTTGTTGCTTACGTATGCACATTTTCATCTGCAACATCCACTACAGTAGTTGCGCCGACGACCTGCGGCCAAAAAACGTGCTGCAGCAGTATGCTTCACAATAGAGTACGCACGTTGAAAAGGATGGAGCGAGAGATGATGCCCGTTAGCCTGTCGCCGGAGATGATGAACAGGCGGATGCACCGCAGGTTCGCGAAGAGGAGGTAGACGTTCTTGAGAGGCATGTTCTCGTGGGCCTTCCACACAGACCGGTCGATCTGTATGTCACCCGTCGCTCTCTGGGCAATCTGTTTGTTACAGAACGACAACAGCAGTGCAATCAAAAGGGTGAGGTACATGTCTCAAAAGTGTCACACCCTCCACTATAGACACAACGGAAGGCCTGTAACCTACGTTTTTTGGGTGACCCAGGTTGGAGCTAGTCCGGGTGAGAGAGGCACAGGCCGCAGTTGGTACACTGTATGGACACGGTGAGCGACAGTTGAAAAGCCGGAGACGAAAAAGAATAAAGTATTCTACCTTTCGTGAATCAACCTGGTGTTGCAAGAACCACACGGCAACATCATGCCGGCTGACGAAAGCACAGACAACAACGGAGACGACCAGGTATCTAAACAACGACTACAATACCAAGAGGTTCTAAAACTTACAGCGGTGAGATCTACCGGCCGGCCGCCGAAGGGGTCGTCCAGTCTATCCGGATCCCAGTTGGCCTCCAACAGCGTGTTGAGGGTCATCCGCCTGATGACACGGTCAACATGTTAATATCAAACACATGGCGGAGACGACAAATCAATATGAGCAGTGTCTAATGCTATCTCTGCACTCAGTTAAAGCTGACGGAATGTTGGGAATCTTGTGAGCAAGCAAAGCTAGTCATCACCGACAAAACATTTCAATCGGCGACCGACTACTGTTGTTGTCTTCACACTAAAAAGCCGTTCCGGTCTCAGCTCAGTGCCTTCTAATATCCGTACCAAGTACGCAACGAAGACAGGATTGACACCAACCAGCTACTCGACCTTCCCCCCTCACCTACCTCGCCAACTTCATCGACACCCGACGATGGGTATATAAGTAGAAATATCATCGTCTATCTCACCCAAAGATTCGCGGCGGACGACTAAAAAACACAATATGGTGCCCAAGTCAACCCCCGCCTGGCCCCACCCCGCCCCGCCCTACACTCACGAGCTAGTGGCCTCCCTCCTGTCCCCGGTGTCGCGATTGCTCCGCGTCACGGACCCCGAGTTCCGACCCGACCGTCTCCCGAGGGTCGATCCGCCCCCGCGAATGAAGGACAAGTCCGACGCCATGTTACCGATCTTGTCGCCCAGCAGCCTCAACGCGCGCACGGTGTTGGCCGCGGGGGCTCCCTCGACGGCCTGTTTTACCTGTCGAATAACGCGAGAGTAGGCGGCGGCGGCAGCGGCGGCGGCGGAACAGAGGGAAATAATTTTCCTTCGCTGATTGGTGATAGTCCTAACACCGCGCGCCATCCCTCCCGAGGTGTGGTACCCTTCGCAGAGACATGGGGTATATACCATACCCCTTGACGTGTACACGGGTGTACACCGGTGGCGAGGAAAATTTCACAGGAGACATCGGTTACCCCTTGACGTTTACACGGGTGTACACCGGTGGCGAGGGAAACTTCACAGGGTTTATTAACGGTACCAGTATGTGGTAGAGGAGTTTCACTACAGAGGTAATCGACAGAAACAAGAAATCATCCGACTTCTCCGGGAAGGGGGGGGGGGGGGGGGTCGACGTAAAGGCTAAGAGTTCATCTCACTTACCTCAAAAAACGATTCCTGAGTGCATCCCCACCAGGGATCAGAACCCCCTTGATGACAACACGTTATGCAGATAAAAAAAAAAGTTTCGCAGAGTAATCGAGGGGAAACCGAGTCATCGTGACAACGCCCGTGTTCCCACCGATGAAACGCTCTCTAACCAAGCAGATGAGCCGTGCCCCCATGGGTGCAGCCGTGCAACATGGATGCAACAACCCTCTAAAAGCAAGCAAGTGAGAGGTGTCACTAACGTGGTCGGGGAGGCGCGCGAAGAGGTTGGTCTTGTCCTTGCTGTGCAGCCCTTCCCCCAGGCGATCCCACGAGGCGGACACGTCCTTCTTGGGGAGCTTGTCGATGACGTAATCGAAGTAGGCGTCCGAGTCGCAGCACGTTTCCGAACCTCCGGTCAGGACGATGTGCACCTGGGTCAGCAGCAGCAGCAACAGCAACAATAACAACAACAACAACAACAATAACACCGAGAAGCCTTAAGCATATCTACGACCGTGTGCATCAGCAACAAGAACAACACCAAGAAGGAAAAAATCCATATGAAAAATCATGCATATCTATGACCTTGCGTCTGCACCAGCAACAACAACAACATCGAGGAGCCTTACAAAAAAACGGCAATCATGCTCATCTATGACCCTGTGCACCTGCAGCAACAACAACAACATCGACAAGCCGAAACCCACACGTAGATTATGCGCACCTATTACCATATACATCTGCACCAATAACAACGAGAAGCTATAGAACACGGCAGGTAAGTCATGCACATCAATGGAGATCAACATCTTGTGAACGAACGACAGCCTAGTTGCCAGACAAAACCCGCTGCTGCAGCTGCTGCTGCCGCCGCCGCTGGTTCATTTTTTGGCCCACGAACGAGTCCAAACCCTTCGCCTTTTTGGCGCAAAAAAAAACTCAAAAACACCTCGAAGTAGTCTTAACACAACCTGCGCTAAACTACAACGTTTTCAATCTTCGAGAGAAGTAAACAAACAAGAAAAAAAAAAAAAAGAGACGAGCCACAAACAAAAGCAGCTGACATATTCAGGGTTCTTCTTCGTCTCTCACCAGGTCTTTTCGGGAGACGGTGCCGACGAATGCCATGCCCTCCAGGCCAGTCACGACTGGGTAGGACTCGAACATACTCAACCCGCCTTCGCCGCCTCTTAGCAGCCGGACCAGCTCCCCGATCTGTTCCGTTCCGTCGATTGGAATACCAGGGGTTGGGCGTATGGGTACCAGCAGGACATGCATCGTGCGGGCGGACGACAAGGACCTATTTACTGCAGGAATCGACTTGCCTTACTGGTACTCACTCTCCAACAGCCGCGGGCGAGCAGCTGCAGGTCGCGAGTTGAAGGACTCAGTATTCGCATTGTGCAAACTGCATGTCGCTTGCAAAAAGTCGCAGGTCCACTCTCCAACATATTGTATCAGTCGCGCGCCGCTACTTAGTTCATCATGTAGCAAGGTTTTGGACCACTCCCGACAATGACAACAGGAAAGCTCTTCGATTAAACAGGTATGGTGCCAAGCTAACAAGGTCGCTGTTTAGGCAATACCCCCCCCACAAGCCACACCACCACCCCTTGATATGCGATGGGGAAAACACACACATGTGCCACACAAATTGGGGCTCTGCAGTTGAGAAGGCAAGACCGTACAACGCCAGCAAGAAACCACTGGAAGACAAGAAACACAAAAACAAGAGGCAACAGTAAAACATGTGAACATGACACATGTTTAGTATTTATGATCCAACAGTATATCTTGAGGGTTCTTCGATTGCCCTCTAGTAAATAGCGCGAGCATCTTTGGGGTCAGCTTGTCAGGATTTGCCCGCTACAGTAGCGGAGAAAGTGATGCCAAAACATGCGTGATAAAGCTTCTTCTTGAGTAATTCTCGGTATACCAAGCACACAAGCTTGGCGACAAGGACGCTGGTTGACTGCACTTATCATGACTCTGCGTGACATGGGGCCGGCACATGCAGTCTCACTCTCACCGTCGTCTGACATGGAACGACCTTAAGATCGGAGTCCATGATGTCCTTCGCGGTCATCTCTTCACTCCGACGCATGTCCAGACCGTACAGAGACTCCAGCCCGTTCAGCCTCATGACTGTCGGCGTCGAAAACGGTTCGTGGTGTCGTGACGGTATCAGGTACTTCAAGTAGGTTGTGCTACGTGTTTTGCATCTGTTTTGCTGTTCTCAACACCGCACCTTCGTCGTAAGCGGGCGGGTATAATCGTGATGTGCTAGAACTCTCCTATGCCCTCGACGTGAGCGCGGCGTGAGTTCTCGTGGATCTCTCGAAGCAGGTATCTCGGTTTTGCAGTACAGGCATGCTGCGAATTTCGTAGATGGCTGGACGTACAGGAACGATTTCTATCCTGGTTCACAGCTGCACCGCAGCAGCACGGTGCACGCTAGACTAGTACCCCGCACCGATTGTCATTTCCGCACCACATGCTTCCGAAACACTTCAGGTCTCCTCTCACGGAAGAGGAGCTGCTACTTTACATAAGGCAATCCTACCGGGCACGGCTCGCCTTACAGGCCAACAAGCAGGCCGTCACACCCAAAAAAAAACGCACCGGAGTCATAGATGTTGAGGCCGAACTTTCGGCTGAAACCGCAGGCCACCACGGCCGCCAGGAGAACCGGCTTGTCCAAGTCAAAGGACCCCGTCATCTCGAGGATGACCTTGCGAAAAAAGGGAGGGTTCCGCCAGGTGTATGTTGGCAATCAAGAGAGGGACGGAAGCGGTGACGGATTCATCAGCGTCACGCCAGGACCGCTCTGACTTTGGCGGCGATCGACATGTTTGCAAGGTCTATTCAGTCAGGAGCGCTCTCCGCTTATGTAACCGATGGTATCGTTTAGTGCTGCCGGTGTGTTTTGAAGGCACCAAACAAGACGGAGATAAAACGACGCCCTCCCAAGAAAGAAACGATCGTTCTAGCGTGCAGCGTATCGACTTAGAAAGCCTTCACACGAAAGACGATCACCACGTACTGTCGGGACCACACCGAACAGAATAAAAGCCAAAAGAACGAAAAAAGCATGCAACTCGAAGAGAAGGGCACAGGAGGGATCCGATCCACAACGCAAGATGCAAAAACTCAACTGCCCCATGCCATACCCTGTTTCGCTGACAACACCGGTCCAACCTCAAAGATCTACCGGTGTGGGGAATAAACGACACGCCAATAACATACATACAGCAATGTTTTTAGAGCGTCAGAGACAGGAGTCAATGGTCAGTATGGAACGCCACGGGGGGTACTCATAGCCGTGTATGCCGTGGTCGGTAGACCAAACAAATCAGCACAATGCATGCGAGATTCTCTCAAACACACCGCGAACGCTAAATGTCAGAGCAGGGTACGCAATGAGAGGCCTTACCACCGCGGCGGAGATGGTCTGTGTTGCTCCGCAGCTCATAGCCGCGGCGCCAACTAGGGCGAACGTCGAAGGGACAACACCCCAAGACTCGCTCAAGTTGACCGCCAGAACTTCTCCAATCAAACGCCCCACCGTGGCGCCGATCACCTGCGCAATGAAAAGGGGGGAGGGGGGGGGGTGTACTCATAGTCGTGCATGCCGTAGTCGTTTGACAATTGACCTCGCATCCCTACAAAGCCGGGACGGAGCACGCCGGGTTCTCACCGGACCAGGCTCTCACATCACCAAGCGCGAAGCGCCGTGAGGTATTTGGCGAGTCGCATGAAGGGTGAGCTGCATCCTGCTAAGGGTGTTCGGCATCTTGTGCTTACTTCCTTGCGTACGGATGACAGCTACGTATGACTTAATTTATTTTCTGGTGCTTTCACTTCCAGAGACAGTTGTAAGCACTGTGTAACTGCCTCGAGGAAGCTTGGCCATTTTAACACAACGTGGTGCGATCATCCCCCGTTGCGCGGAGAGAGGTTTCTCGACCCCGCACAACATTATCTACTCGACCACCATTACGGTTACCGCCAAAAAAAAAAACGAGGTAAAAAAAAAAAGAACGGTACCCTGGTTGCCGAGTTCACGAAGTGAATTGGCTTCTTTTACAACGTCGTTGCCAAGCGACGAAAACCCAATCCCGATGGCAGACACCGAGTGGGGGAGGGGGGGGGGGGGGGGTAAACAAGAACGGGGGCCCAAAATAAGATGAGGGGATGGTTTCGGGAATGGGGGGGGGGTATAAAAGGGCCCCAAATGCGGAAGAAC